AAGGGTGGAGGCACCCACGCCAGGAAGCCAAGCTTTCGCTTCCACCTGCGCTGAGGGCTCGCGGGGACTGGGTCCGCCCGCACCCCCTGCGGCCTCCACTCCCCCAGCTGCTGGAGGGCAGGCCCAGCGGGAGCCCCTGGAGGGGCCTGGCCGCTTCTGACGCTCCCAGCCCTGGTCCGGCGCCTGGCGCCCGAGGCGGGGGGAGGGGCAGCACAGGAGAGTGGCACAGGGTGGCGGAGGCTGGCAGCGAGGGCCACTGCTGCCTTCTGTGGCTGAGCCACTTCCAACAGTGGTGCCCGAGGGGAGGGAGAGGTACAGACCTGTGCTGACCGTGAGGACCGGGCTGCCCCCAAGTGTCCGAATCCGGGGCTGCTGGACCCACTGCAGGCCCCAGCGCCCGCCACAGCCTCCGCCGCGGGGGCTCTGCTGGGCCACGGGAAGACCTAGGCCACCAGAATCCCTCCTCCCTGGGTGCTGTCCCCTGAGATCAGATCAAGCTCAGAGATGCCTCCTCCAGGAGGCCCCGTGTCCTGCCCTCTGGAACGGCCTCTCCCAGGCTGGGAGGGCCCTCGGTGCCCAGGCGGAGAGGGGCTTGCCAGAGACCTCAGGCTTCAGGCCCTGTGTGTGCTTGCGGAGGCCTCGGGGGGCCGGGGTGGGGCTGAAGACTGCCCGCTGCCCGCCCCGCCGCCCCTCTGCCCGCCCCTGACCGGGAGGACAAAGCAGTGGATTGAGGGTGGGGGAGGGGCGGCGCGGCACTGCCAGGGGCTGTGGCCAGGGCCCCGGGGGGCAGAGGACAGCTCAGGCTCTGGGTGAGATCAGGCTGTGCCGCTGACTGCCCGGCCATGGCCCCCTGGACAAGCCACAGGACCCCCGGAGCTCTGGCTCGGGTCCTCAGACGGGGACGGGCAGGTGGATGGCGGCCCCTGTGGCTGCTGACAGAGCAACGGGACGCCGTCTGCAAGGCCGGCAACGCGGGAGCGCTGTGCCCACCTGCCTCCCATCCACCGCGCCCACCGCCAGCCCCCCTCAGCCAGGCTACCAGGGCCGGCATGGAGCTGAGATGCGGCCCCTCCCGCTCAGCGTCCCCGGGCCGCCTGGCTCAGGGACCCAGTGCCAGCGGCCTGGCCCACCCGCCCGGGTGCATGAGACCCAGGGTGTCCAGCACAGACACCCCAGGTGCCCATGCTGGTGGCACAGGCCAGGCCCATCGGGGGCTTGTTTTTCTCATCTGTAAAATGGCTGGGAAGTTCTCCAGGGACACTGGGTGGGCTGAGCCTGTGGCGCCTGCCTGACCTGCGAGGCCCCCCCAGGGGGTGGACCCCCCACCTCCTCTCAAGAGTCATCTCCCAGGTCCCCCCTCTGGGCCTCCCTCCCATTGCCCTGCCACGTCCTGAGGGCGGGCCCCCACCTCCACGCCAGCCCGCAAGCAGCAGGCAAGGGCAGTGGTGGGCACCCAGTCGGCGCAGGTGGGAGGCGGGGAGGGCGCGTCTTCTCCCCACTGCCCGCTGGGCCAAGTGCAGACGTTGACCTCCCTGCTGCTGCGGGCAGACGGCCGTGTCAGGCTGTACTTGGAGCAGACCGGGGACACAGGCATGGGGACCTGGATGGTGGCGGAAGCAGGTCGCACACTGAGGTCACACCCAGGCCCGAGAGGACCCGGGGCCAGGCACAGGTGGAGAGACTGATGCCCTCTGACACAGCAGGCCGGGGCCCCTGCCGGCGTCCACACCCATGTCCACCAGCACTCCGCAAGGCCAAGATCAAGCTCAGGGACAGAAAGCCCTGCCCCACAGGCTGTGTGTGTGTGCACGCGCGCGCGCATGCCCATGTGTGTGCATGTGTGCACGCTCGCGTAGGGGTGGGCACTGACTGGCCTGGGCATGCTGGGGGTGGGGCAGTGCAGGGAAGCCACCACCCAGGGCCGTGTGTGTGTGTGTGTGTGTGTCTGGAGCTGACGTCGAGCCCTGGGTTAGCCTTAAGAAGATTCCGCCTCAGTGGCACTCTTGCTCGGGGTGGGCCCGGCTGGCCTCACGGGAGTAGGTGGCCCTCGGTCCACCTTCCCACCTTCCAGCTTCTCTTCTCCCACTTGGGCCGGGCTCACGGGAAGCGGCGTGGAGGAGGGTGCCCCAGCAGCACACGGGGCGGGTGGCCTGGCGCGGGCAGAGCGCACCCTGTCCTCAGGCAGCTCTGGGTTCTAGTCCTCCCAGAGGCAGTGACCGCCCCCCCTCCTGCCCACATGGGCTGCTCGGGAGTCACCCAGGTGGGTGCCCCAGGCCTGCCCCCTCCCTTGTTGGGAGGCCCGAGGGTGCTGCTTGGCCAGGACGAGGCTCTCCCATTTCCAGAGTAGTGGGGACAGGGGACGGGGCGTAGCTTGGCCTCCAGGTGCGCCCCGGGCCGGCCAGTTCTCACCCTGACCCCAGGAAAGCACTTTCTGTACGCCTGCGCTCTGGCCACCAGAGCAGGGAGGTGAGCCCGGAAGCCCGGTGCACACAGTAGGGGCTTTATAAAGCCCTGTCAGAATGGCGTCCTGTCAGAATGGCACCACGGACTCTACGAGCCAGCAACCCTGTGCCTCAGTTTCCTCTTCTGTAAAAAAGACGGACATCACAGACCCCGCGCTTCACCAGTTGGGCATGAGGGCTGGAGGCCGCGGGGTGGGAACACCCGGGCGGGTCCGTTCCCTCCCCCGTTCATTCACCGGTTCCGCTCACAGACTCCGCTCAGGGCCCTGGACCGCTGCGGTGCGCAGGCCGGGCTCAGGGCTCGCTCTCAGGAGGCTGTGGTGCACTCGGCAGAGGGGAGGCCCTGAGCAGCCCACACCTTGCCTACTCACCCCTGGGGAAGGTGCTGTGGAGCCGGCACGCAGGGGTGGGCCCTCCTGGGAGGAGAGGCCGGCCCTGCCCCCTCTCTCCCTGCCTGGCCAAGGCGGAGGCCGGCAGGGTCCGGAGCAAGAGTTTCCCTTGGTCTGGAGCTTTCTCTGCGCGCTGGGTAGGTGGGCAGCTGGCGAACAGACCCCATGCCAGCTCAGGACTCGGGCTGTTCAGAGGTGGGCCCGGCAAGGCCCTCCTTGCTAGGGTGAGGCTGGTGGGGTGGGGGCCTCGCGCAGAAGGCCACACAGTCAGATGCACTCTCACACCCCCAGGGACCAGGAGATTGCCTGGCACACACACTCCCTCCTTTATAATGGGTAGAAACCAGCCTCCTCATCCTGGACATCCAGGGCCCCCTAGGTCTGCCTACAGCCTGGCCTCAACCTTCCAATCCCGGCCTGTCTCCCCTAGACCCACTTGGGTCCACTGCCTTTCCTGACCCACTGTGTCCAGGAGGCCTTGAACCATGCAACTACTAGACCCCTGCTGGGTGCGAGATACAGTGGGGGAGGGGCAAGGCAGCTGAGCCAGCCTCCCCCCCCCACCCGACTGTGCCTCCTGGTTCCTCCTCTGGGCGCCTCGGAGAGTGCCCACACCCCAGTCCAGAGCCAGGCCGGCGGTGGCAGCCACCGGCAGGCAGCACCCCGATATTATCCAGCCACCAGCCACCCCTCCCCCGCCCTCACGAACCTGCTAACTTTTCCAGCCTGGAATCAAGTGCACTTTGAGGAAAGGCGAACAGAGTCTATTTAAGGTTAGGAGCTGGCGGTCCCGGAATGTGAGGTGTGCAATTAGCTCCGACAGCCGTCAGCACCTCCACAAAGTGGGGGCCCTCACCTGACGGTTAACTCTTTGCTGTAAAGCGGTGGGACCTCGTGGGACAGGCCGCCTGACTGGGTCCGGGAGGGCAGCCCCACCTGACTGCTCGGTCCTCTCCTGGGCAGGGACCCTCTCCCTGTCTGCTGGCTGTGATGACCTGTCCATCATCCCCGAGCTCCTCGGTGGGGCCAGGACAGGGCACAACTGCGGGCTACTGCTCCAACTTGGCTTTTCCAATGGAGAGCTGCTGCTGCCCCGGTGAGGGATGGGGGCAGTGCGGGGCCCCAGGCCCAGAGCCAAGTGCTGATACCGGACACCCCAGGGCTGCGGCACCCTCTCCCCCAGCACTCCCTGCCCTGGGCAGTGCCGTGAAGGGGGTTGGGGCATCTGCTCTGGGTCCAGGGAGGAGGTCCACACCTGAGCCACTGTCCCCACCCGTCAGGGTGCAGATGCGGAAACGACATCTGCCCAGAGAAGGCAAGCGTCCTGCCCGGGACTCGCTGCCGGAGGACCAGGGGGCAGGGCTGGTGGGAAAGGAGGTTCCCAAATCCAGCTCCCGTGTGGGTGTGCCTGACTCTCTGTGTGTTAGAGCAGAGCACCAACGCTTGTGGTCACACCTGCAGCCCCCATGCAGCCTGGGGCCCTGGGCTCCAGAACCCCAGGAGGCTGGGCAGTCAGACCCCCCCTGGACGCAAGGCTCATTCCTCAGGCCCCTCCCCAGGAAGGGGGTCTGGGGACGGGACTGGAGGAACACAGAAGCAGCCTCCACCGGGAGAACCCCGCGCAGTGATGGGGGCTCTCGCTCCTCCGAGGCCTGCGGGTGCCAGGGTCCCGTGTGCACCCACCTGCGCGCCTGCAGCTAAAAACACAGCAGCACCGGGACCCCCAGCCCGCGCGTACCTCGCGGGGCCACCACGCTGCCGACCCGAAGTTGAAGTTTATTTTCCCAACTGTGGCTGATTCATGGTCAGGATGCGGCAGCCGCGAGAAGGGGAAATTCTGCCGTCACCGGGCGGGGCCCTGGCTCGACTGACCCCCCGGCCCACCACCGTGGCCAGTGCGTCCCGGCTGCGTCTCCCGCCGGGGTCGGCAGTCCGGGATGAGGTGAGCCCCGGGGCCGGGGTGTGTGTGTGTGGGCGGGGGGGCTCCCGGGGCCCCGCCGGGGAGCTGGGGGCCCGCCGCCCAGTGCCGGCACCTGGAGCGCACCCCGCGCTGCCCCAGCCCCCCCTCCCCAATCCCAAGACGCCCCCTCGCTCCGACTCAGTTTCCCCGGCGACTCCTGGGGCGGGGGGCCCAGAGGCGCGGACTTACCCAGCGGGGGTGCAGCGGCGCTCACTCCGGTCCGGCCAGGGGCCGCGCGAGGCCGCCCACCGCGGGCTCCGCACCGCTCGGGCTGGGTTGGGCTCGGGCTCCCGCTCCGCGGGGCGCGCGGAAGAGGAGGTGCCGCCCCGCCCCGGCAGGCTGGCGGCCACGTGGGGAGCGGGCGCGGCCGGGGGGCGGAGTCGGGGAGGGGTCGCCGGGAGGCCCCGCCCACCCCGCCGCCCCCGACCGGCGCGCGCGCTGGGAATCTCCTTTCGCCCGGAAAGACCCTGGCGGCCGCCAATCCCCGAGGTCGCCCCTTCGCCACCCTGCCGGCCTCGCTCCTGGCGTCCGGGGGCGGCGATGGGTGCGGAACACGCGGGGCGAGGCCTAGGAAACATCTGGAAGCCATTTTCCCCACCTCAGACCTCACTGCGGACCCCCTCCTTGGTCTGCACTGCGCCCCATCTTGTCACCCCCCCGACCCCTCCTCCAGGTCCAGGCCCAGTGGCCGGTGGGCTGCCTCCCTGGTGTCGTTTATCTGCCTGTGCCCCCTGCATGGAGCCCCTGCCCTGGCCAGCTGGATTCCAAGTCCCCCCACCCCCATCCCCAACGTAGGAGACGGCTCTTTCCAGGGCTCTGCTATGGAGAACGCCCCCAGCTTTCCGGGCCAGCCCCTGCAGCCTCCTCCCCGCAGCCCTCCGGGAACGCTCCCACATGGGGTCTGAGTGGTCTCCAGGCTGCTCCCACTGGGCCGGGCCGCGCAGGCAGCAAGGCCTGAGGGAGCTGCCCCTGCTCCCGGCACCCGGGGTTGCTGCGCCCACCCTCTGTCACCCCTCTTCTTGTGAGGCCTAATCAGCCCTGCCAGACTGCCGACCTGGTCCATGAGCGCACATTGCCCAGGGTGGGCCTGCCCAGAGCAGGTTCAGGACGCCTGGCTGACTGGCTAGGGAGAGGCGGCCCCGGCCCTGGAAGTCCCTTCTGAGGTCTCGCCCTCAGTCGGAGCTCCCGGGGCGCGGCCCGCACCAGGCCCGCGTCCAGCCCCTGCCCTGGGGGCCCTGCGCCAGCGCTCTGCGTGTGCGCCAGGCGTGCGCACGCCTCGGGCTTGGCAGCTTCCCCCCCAGGGCGAGGAGCCCGGGACCTCGCAGCTTGAGAACGTGCGGTGGCGGCGTGGCTCTGCGACACCTGCACCCGGGAGGGCGACGCGGGAGGCGGCGGCGTGGGCGGGGCCGGGCGCGGACGCAAGGCTGGGAAACCGGCCCTGCTCCATCCAGATCCTGCCCTCGCAGCAGCCGCGGCGCCCCTCTGTTGGCTGCCGATCAGGCCCGGAGCTCCGGGCCGGTCAGTGCCTACTCCCAGCGGCGTGTGCGGCCCCTCCCCAGCCCAGCAGCCCCAGCCCGGAGGTGTCTTCTAGGTGGGCCCCAGGGCAGCAGGCCAGTCCCGCATGAGGGCCCCTGAGCACCCAGGAGAGCCGGCCAGGAAAGGTGCTTGCTGACCCTTGGACATACTCCAACCTGGAGACTTGGGACGTGATGGCCACTACTGGGCGGGGACTCAACAGTTCCTGGAATGCACCCAGTCCTTGCCTGGGCAAGTGTCCCTCAGCCTGGAAGACGAGCCCTCTCCCCCCCAGCACCCTGCCCCTCTCCTCGACCCGTTGAGCTTCGGGGCCTCCTCTTCCTGCCCCCCGCCCCCCCGGAGCAGGCTTCCAGGACTCTCCATGCTCTCCTGGGCCCTAGCAGCTGGTGCCCGGCATCGGCAGCCCCTGGAAGCAGGGTAGGATCCAGGCCTGGCTGACTCAGCCGTCCTGAGCTGGCGCCTGGCGGCCGCCACCATGCTTCGTGGGTGTGTTTGCTGACCTCACGGATGCAGGAATGCGGTGGAGGAAGGTGGGGAGGACCTTCTAGCCTGAAGACCGGGCTTGGGGGGTGGTCCGGCGGGGAGCTTGGTGCTGAGCATGGCCTCTGTGCTCGCCCTGCACCCCTTCTCTCACCCCTCCCCGGGCCTGCGGAGTGGGCAGGGTCCCGAGCCTCACCCAGAGACTGGAGCAGAGGCCTGGCATGGGCCGGGGTCTGCATCCGGCTTGCCAGCCCTCTGCGGCCCCCTGAGGGAGGCTGCCGGCGGCTGGCGCCACCAGGGCTGGCTCCCTTGAGTAGGTGCCTGCGGTGGGCAGGGCCCGGGATGGGGGTCCCCGGTCCAGGCCCTCGTGGTCGGACACCCGGACAGAGGCACGCGGGGGAGGCAGTTCTGTGTTGCACCCCGAGGGCTGAGCTCAGCGCAGGAGCGGGCAACCGGCCGGAGCAGGGAGTGTGCGTGTGAGCCTGTGTCTCGGGTGCCTGAGGTCAGTGGGGTGGCGGGCTGTGGGTGTGGACACTGGTCTCACAGTGCCTTTTCCTCCGGCCGGCGCTCTGCACTGCCAGGCCTCAGCTTTGTGGGCTTATCCTGCCGTAACCACTGAGGCATATAAAGACCCTGGTCCCCTTTGCTTTTAGTGGCTCTACACCCCCAGGCACCCCTCCATCCAGGCCTCAGAAACCGACATGGTTTCCTGTCCCTGAGGGGAGAAGCTTCCACCTCAGGGACCTCCTGCAGCCACTGCCCAGCACACTCAGCCCGTCCGATGATGGACGTTCTTTCTGGAAGCCATTGTCCACCCGGCAGGTCCCACCCTGGGGCCTGGGGCTGTTTTTGGAGCCGGGGGTGTGCCCGTGCCTATACCCCAGATGCCCGAGCGCCAGAAACACGCTGCAGCTCAGACACACTTCTAGCCGCAGCCAGCACGCTGGCCGGAGGTGGCGTGCCTCCCAGCAGTGACACTGGGGGCCCATGAGCTCCCGCACAGCAGGGTGCCCTGCCCCCCCAGACCAGCACGGAGCCGGCCACCCCTTCGCGTCAGGAAGCCGGAGATGGAGACTGGGATGGGCAGACTTTGGTTCTGCCGGTGTGAGCCCTGCCGGGAGTGGGAAGGCGGGCGTGGGCACTTCTCAGAGAGCAGCCTCCCTGCCTGACGTGGGAGGCGGAGGTGAAGGCCAGGACACCCCTGAGTGTGGTGGGTGGGCACTCATGGGCCCAGAGGGGGGCCCTAAGGCCACCGGATGGAACCAAGATTTCATTTCCCTAGACAGGCGCCCAGAATGCTTTTTCTTGCTTTCATTTCGAAACATCTTTCCTTTTGCTTCCCTACCGGGGTGCCCTGACATGACTTCTGACACTGATGCAGAATGAAGTCGGCGCGGGCGTGCCAGCCCACCCGCCTGCACACCCACCCCCCACCTCCACTCCTCCATCCATCCACCCACACACCCACCCACCCACAGACAGCCCCCCCAACTCCCACCCACTCCATCCACCCCCCGTCCGGCCGTCCACACCCCCCACCCCTACCTGTCCATGCAGTGATCCACGTCAGGGCTAATTCTGCCTGGAGACTAAGAACTTGGGTACCAGCCTCGCCACCGGCCATTCGCCTCTGTGCTTGTCCATAAGGACACGACATCCCTGGTCACCTCCAGACAGGTGAACTGTAGTGGGAGGCAGCTGCGGGCCCTGCCCTTGGGCTCTGCCCCTCTCAGCACCCGCGTCTCTCCCTCCTTGCCCCTGCGGCCCCAATACCCACTCAGGGCCGCCTCTCACAGCTGCCCACACGCCCTCTGTGTCCCTCGGACCACAGGGAGCACCCGCGTGCCAGCCTGTTCGTGCCCGGCTGTGCGAGGCCCGGCTGGGGCAGGGCCTGCCCTGCTGCAGGTGCTGCCCCCGGGCCCCAGGACCAGACAGCTGCTCTCACAAGGACAGAGGCCCGGGCGGTCAGTTAGAGGCTTGGGTCAGGGAGTGACATCCGCCCTCTTCATCTGAACACCCGCTCACACGCGCAGGGGAGTGTCATCACTTGCAGATTCCGTATTTGCAAGCTCGCCTACCAGTTAACTCGTGTTTGCAACCGTAAAATTGCACGCACTTGGTAACGCACCCAGAGCAGCAAAAACTTTGAGTCCCCGATGAGCAGGTCCCCAGCTGAGGTCGAAGAAGGGGGTGTCCCGCCTCCCGACTTCGTTCCACGCCATAAGCAAGGATCTTTCTCCGGCCTATTCAGGACTGTGTTTCCCACATTTTTCTCCCTTTGGTTGAAAGCTCACTGACGAAATGGCGATGCGGCGCTGGGCCGTGCCTCCTGGGGGACACGCTTGCGTCAGGACACTTCCTTCAGGTGCAGCTTACAGAGCCGCTGGCCCCGAGCTCAGTGAGAGCGAGTCCACAGTGGATAGTCGGCCCTGAGCACCACGGGTCTGAACTGCGTGGGTCCACCCAGCTGCAGATTGTTTTTTAACAACTACAGTCAGGTGCCATGAATGTATTTTCCTTATTTTCTTGGTAACGCCTTCTTTTCTCTAGCTTACTTTATCGTGAGATTACAGCCTATAATACATATTTCATACAAATATGCTACCAACTGATGGTTTATGTTACAGTAAGGCTTCTGGTCAACCCTGGGCCATTCGTGAAGTCTTGGGGGAGTGAAAAGTTATACGTGGATTTCGAACGGTGCAGCGGTCAGTGCTCTGAGCCCCGCCGCTCGAGGACCAACCCCAGGCTAACTGAAGCGCAGGCTGGCAGCCTCTAACCCTGCGTCCCCTAGAAGCCAGCTGGGTGTTTGTGGTGACCCTGGACCAGGACCATCAGCCCTAGGCCTCCACTGCCAAGTGTGGTCCCTTCACTGCCGTCCGTGTCCCCGGCTGGGCGCTCCCCGCACCGAGGCTGGGGTGTTGGTAGCGCTGGCTGTTCTCTGGGTCTGCGGTCCCTCTGTCCGTGGCCTGCTTCCCTCAGGCACGTCTCTGAGCTGGGCCGGCCAGTGGTCCCTGCCCCCCTGAGGGGTGCCCCGGGGCCATGGCCGGGGACAGGCCTGCAGAGCAGAGAGGAGCTCTGGGGCTCCCGCGGACCCGGGGGAGACAGGCTGCCCCTCGCCTCCCCGGCCTCCTTTGGCTGCAGCCACCAGGGGAGGTCTAGAAGGGCTTGTGCGGCTCTGCACGGAGAACGCAGAGCGATGGGGCAGCCTGACTGGTTTATACACTGGGGGCTGTGTCACCTGTGTATAAAGGATCCTGCAGTTAACCAGGGGGAAGCCGCTGGGAACTGGGGGGAGGGGGTACCTGGGGGCACATCT